AAACCATCATGTGATTCCCACATTACTTCATATCTAAATTTTCACTTCCTTCGTCGTTGCTTTTGATAGTTAGGATTGTGCCCCCACCGCAACATGATGGGGTCATGATCAGATGCTGCTATCGTCAAATGGGTCACCCTAGCCCATGGGAACTTAGAGCACCAGTCCGCAGTGGCCAAGTGAAAGCCCTAGTTTGGTTTTGGTGAATTGATGAAACCCTAAATGCTAACCTAGTTTATCAAAGTGATCATAAGATAGGTAGTACTATTCCAAGTGTGAATCAAATGGTGAAGATCATGATGATGGTGTGACCATGGTGATGATCAAGTGCTTGGACTTGGAAAAGAAGAAAGAGAAAAACAAAAAGCTCAAGGCAAAAGTGAAACTTGATAGGAGCTTTTTGGTTTGGTGATCGAGACACTTAGCGAGTGTGATCATATTTATGATTGATAGTCATACTATTAAGAGGGGTGAAACTCGTATCGAAATGCGGTTATCAAAGTGCCACTAGATGATCTAACTCATTGCATATGCATTTAGATCTAGTGAAGTGCTAACACCCTTGAAAATGTTTGTGAAAATATGCTAACACACGTGCACAAGGTGATACACTTGGTGGTTGGCACATTTGAGCAAGGGTGGAGAAGTTAGTGAAGTAAAGGAGGTGATTGTCACTGATTTTTAGTGATCGGACGCTGCTCTCGCAGTGACTGGACGTAGGCTTGTGAGTCCGGTCAGTAGAGGCCGAGGCAGTGTAACCTAGGGTATTGCACCGGACGCTGTGAAGGGTCCGATCGAGATGCACTGGACGCGTCCGGTCACGATTTGGCCGCTCTGGAACCTATCTAGAAGTGACCGAACTCCATGAGTAGATGCGTTCAGTCATCTTAGCACAGTGTCTGGTCACGGCGTAGCAGTGGCACGCGCGCGGGCTGAAGTGAGCACCGACGCGTCCGGTCTTGGACTGTGGTGCGTTCGGTCGTTCTTTAACACGCACGAGGAAGCGAGTTGACCGCTGAAATCGCACGCGCGAGGTTAAACGCAGGGGACACGTGGACGGTGATCGATGACTGGACGCTGGGGCTCATGCGTCCGATCAATCTGACCGGTGCGTTCGGTCGCCCCGAGTTGGGCTATAGTGAGAGCTCAATGGCTCTATTTCGTGGGGGCTTTTATTTAAGCCCCATGGTCAGCTCAAGCTCACTCTCTTGGCTATTTGCATTTACATAGCAACCTTGTGAACTTAGCCAAAGCCCTCCCACTCATCTCCATCATAGATTGATCATCTTTGTGAGATTGAAAGTGAATCCAAGTGCATTGCTTGAGTGATTGCATCTAGAGGCACTTGGTATTCGTGTTTCGTTTGTGGATTTTGCTTGTTACTCTTGGTGGTTGCCACCACCTAGATGGCTTGGTGCAACAAGGATCATCGAGCGGAGGAAGGTGCTTGTCTTCGGCTACGATCGTGGTGATTGTGAGGGATTCTTGACCTTTTCCCGGCGGAGAGCTAAAATATACTCTAGTGGATTGCTCGTGTCTTGTGTGATCCTTATCTTGTGTTGGCTGTGCGGCACCCTATTGAGAGTTTGACGTGTGATGTTAATTAGCGCGTGAACCTCTAAGTGTGTGTATCGCCACAACGGGGAGTAGCTTGCTGGCAAGTACGTGAACCTCGCTGAAAAATCATTGTGTCACCTCTTATCAAAGGGACTCTATTGTAATTGATTGGCTTCATCTTGTGATTGGCACACCTCTCTACACGGCGATATAAACATCTCAACCGCTTGTGTATTTACATTCATAGTGTAGCTAAGCTCTTTAGTGTAATTAGTTTTGAGAGCTTGTTTGTGTCGTATTTAGTGGTTAGTGAGTCTCTTTAGTTAGTCATTGAGAGCTCACTAACTTAGTGCAGCGACATAGTCTTTGTGTGTCTAGAGATCATAGAGACTAGAATTGTGGCAGGTGACTTGCCTTTTAGTAGGCTAGCGCAATATTTGTTTCGCCTCATAATTGTCTAACTATTTTGTTTAGTGTTGTTGTAGAAATTTTTATAGGCTATTCACCCACTCTAGCCATTAGGACCTTTCACCAGGGTACGATCAAGTCTCACTCGACAAAACGCTCCCCTTGCCACTTTCTTCTCGTACGTCCAGTTGCGGCCTTCATAACCTAGGTCACAAAGTCCGCATATGTCCACCATATCCCTAAACCCTTCGAACTGAGCGTGACTCCGCTCCTATACACCAACATGTTCTGATCAGTGCTTAAATTTATCTGTTTTTTAATTGCTATAACTTTTAAATGATTTATCCATTTTTAATTTCGTCTACATCCGTGTGTTCTACGTGACGAGGCGAACAAAACTAGACACCATTTGCATATGTTTTGAAGAATTTTATTCAATAGCAATTTATGTGTAATACGTATAATATTAAAGTTGCTAGTCAAAAATATACAAGTTGTCACATAGTATACACAAGCTCGGGGCAAAAATATAAAAAAAAGTTAGTACCATGTAATAATAAAGTTGCTACTCAAAAAATATACTAAACTCGTTACATAGTATGCACAAGTTGGGAGAGCAAAAACTATTAAAGGAGCTACTACCATGTTTTATTATACTTGTACAACTTTGGAGACAAATTATTAAGGTAAGCATTGCACAAGCTACAAACTGGGGAGCAAGTTATTATACAACTTGCTCAAATATGCTCATCCATTTTGCTCGAAACCTAAGGGGCAAATTATTAAAACAAGCATTGCATACGCTGCCAACTAAGAGAACGAGTTATATACAACATATTAAAAAATGGAAGAAAACATAACTTGTTGCCAACTAGTAGGCAGTTATTACAAAATCCAGCAAACATGACTTGCTGCAAAATGAAACTAAAATCAACAAAAAAGAAAGAACCGAAATTGACAAACAAAAATAGAACTGAAATTAAAAAAATAGAAAATAAAACTAAAGTAGACAAAATAAAAAAAGACTGAAATTGATAAGCAATAAAAACTAAAATTGACAAATAGAAACTAAAAATGAAAGAAGACAAAATGGGAAAAAATAATACAAATAACACTGAAAGTATAATTACCAAGACAAAACTGAAATTGACAAAAAAATAAATTGACGAATAGAATATGAAAATTAAAGTAGACACAGCGAAAAATTTCCAAAGAAAACTAAAACTAAAAGTACAATATACTAGAATTGATAATGACAACAAATAATAAAAATTGAAATTGCCAAATAAGTTGCTACACGCTTAATACATAAGTTGCTACACGTTTGCTAGTATATATAATTTGTTGAAAGGTTAATATATAGGTTGCTACACGCTTAATACATAAATAGCTATTACATATATAACATAAATTGCTAGTATATCCAAACTATTTTGAAACACATGCATCTAGTCATATTTCATAGATCTCATCATAAGGGGCTCAATAGTACAAACCCGTGAAAAAATCGAAACATAAATTACCAGTGACTAAAAAAGAAATTAACAACCGAAAAACAAAACAAATAATTGAGAAAAAAAATAAGTTATTATATAACTAATATGTAGGATTTATGAATGCATTCAAACTAAAAGGGTGACTAAGAACTGAAACTAAAAACACTAAAAAACATGACTAAAAACTGAAATAAAAAAAACTTGACTGAAAACTAAAACCAGGAGGCAAATTCTTTTGTGTCAACTTATGTGTGCAATAGCTATCCTTTTGTAACAACTTATACGTTGTAGGTGAGGCAACTAATATACAGGATTTATGAAGACATTTAAACATAAAAGGGTGACTGAAATCTGAAACTAAAAAAAAAGACTCAAAATGAAACAAAGAAACAAAAAATAACTATCAATTACGAAAAACATTTGAACCTGAAACTAAAACTGAGGCACAGAAATAAAAACGTGACTGAAAATACATGTACAGAAGAACATTTTTATACGGTTCTGAAACTACCTCACAAGCAGACCTAGTATGAAGAAGAAAGACGTAAGAATATGAAGCTACCAAACATACTTTCCAAATTAAAGACTTGTGCGTACTATCCATGGGTTTGACAAGTTTAGCTGGCCTTGGTAGATCACTAAAAAGAAATCAAATCAGCATCTTTATGCAACTTGCAACAAAAAAATAACTTGCCACAACAAGATTACTGAATTGAATTTAATTTTTAAGTAACTTGCCACAGAAGGATAATCTAACTTGCTAGAAAATATTGGGTACACTCTGTACACTATACTAAAAACAGGAATCTAGGGATTACAGAATCATCATCAATTTATTAATCAGTACAGATCCTGAGCTGAAATCCCATAAGTTAACATCAACACTAGGACCAGACCAGGGGTGACCAACGACCGAGAATTACGACGCCCATAGATGAATACAGATCCCGTGCGGAACTCAACAGGAACGCAGCCCATCGGGCCGGGCCCTTTCTCGTCCTTCTTCGCTGGTTTCATTTGTAGGCCCACTTCAAGGCTACACGATAGTTGGCCCAGGCCACCAAACCCCCTAAAAACGGGGCGAGTTCTCATCCTGAGCAGAAGCAGCTACAGATAGATACGATGACCAGTCAGTCCAGCTATATCAGTTGGAATCCCGTTGGCGACGGAAACGGACACCGAAACGGAACGGCACTCGTGGTTGGACGCCCTATCACGCTCGGCCACGCGAGCGCGTACGATTGGCGGACCGGACGCCAATAATACCCCTCGCTCACCTCCCTCGCCTCGACGCATCGCCGCTGCTCGCTCTACTCGCGGTCGCGGCGCCCTCGCACCCCTGTCACTCCCTCGTCCCCCGCCCCATCCACCGCCGCGTCGCCCTCCGCCTCCAAATAAAGTAAACGCGGGTGACGGGAGGCCACCACCGAATCCCCCTGCGCCCTTTAACCCGTCGCCGCCCCGTTCGATCCCCTCCGCCTTTTTCGCCGCCGGCCACCTGACCGCACAGCTCCCCGGAGCCGAGAAGGACCCGGCGCCATGGGGTTCTGGGAGGCTTTTCTCAACTGGCTCCGCAGGTACGGCGATGCTCTTCCATTGGTCTGCTTCGTCGGATTGATCTGCTGCGCATTGCGCGGCCGGGGTGCGGGGATGGCGAGGGACGGCGGGTAGGAGATCTGAAAGTTCTTCTGGTTTTGTCATCAAGATTCGTTAAGATTGTTACGGACGCAGTGAAGTTGCAGCTTGCTTGTGGAAAGCTTCTGGCGTGTAGCAATGTGATTATTACAGCGTGATCCTATTAGGGGGAAAGGATTGGGTTCATGCGGTTGTTTTCCATCAGTAAACTTGAGATTTGGCACCTTTGCTTGTGAACTGCCGTATCACGCGTCGGGCTATCTACTAAACATGCCAATCAGCCTTTTTTTAACTACAGAAAAGGCTTTAAGGCTGTAGTCGAACGTGCCCATCAAAATCGACCATTCTTGGGGTCTATGGGAGATTACAAGACATGAAATTCGTGAATATCACTTATTCAAAAGGATAAATGGGTTCATTTATTCTAGGTTGATTATCATGTTTCGCATTGTCTTGTTATCCTGAATACCTGCCAAGCGCCTTTTTGTTGCTCTCTTGGGTTCCATATCATGCAAAAGTATTGATTAGCGCTAGTAAGTTCTTGGTAGTACTCCAGGATTAACCTGTTGCTGGTACTTATTTGTTGTACTTCATTCATTGGCATCTAGTATAGCTACCAGTATAGACGATTTATTTCATCTCTACCTACCATCCAGGTTGGCTTTTATTTGGTGCATAAAAATACAAAAGTGCCTGCATTCTAAGAATGTCTTGCACATGCACTTGTTGGGTGGCTGAGCATTACTTTGTCATATGTAACACTTGTAAACGGATGAACTGATGTAATCCGCCGTTCATTTTTATTCAAGGAGCTTGTCTGCTTGAATAACAGTTTTCTACTTTTTTACATCTGCAGCCTCTTCTTCAAGCAAGAGATGGAGCTTTCCTTGATAGGGCTCCAAAATGCTGGGAAAACATCACTTGTGAACATCATTGCTGTAAGTATTAGGCATTCTTTTGGTACCACTCATGTACTGGATATATGATGAAATATATGTATCCTCGATAAACATGTATTTTTGCAGACTGGAGGCTTTAGTGAGGATATGATCCCTACTGTAGGATTCAATATGAGAAAGGTTACCAAAGGAAATGTGACGATAAAATTGTGGGATCTTGGAGGCCAACCAAGATTCCGGAGCATGTGGGAGAGATACTGCCGTGCGGTTTCTGCAATTGTGTATGTATTTCATTCCTAATCTGCCATTTACAGTAGGAATAGCACTAATGCTCACCAGCTGTCATGCTTAGTTGTGGCTTCTTGCACGTCTATTATTTTGGTAATACAGTGTTCATATCATTCTGAAAGTACGATTTATCAATTTATTTACAAATTCTTTCTCAACTATCCTTCTTTTCTAAACGCTTTCTTTAAGGTTATCATAGCCTACTTCTCTTCCTTTTGGTTTATATTTTAGTTGTCTTTGTGGTCAGGATGAGTGTTAGTTTGCTTTATGCCATTTTGTATCTTAGTTGTCATGTGATGTCTTGATTATATGTTTATATGCTTCTGTTGATTTGCTTTTTTAATATATACTGATACTGATGATCCTGTTTATTTGTTGCCCATTTTTTTATTTTGCTTTTTCGTGTATGATGGCGGTGGTGCATTGCTTATTTCTTTCAATCCTTTGCTATTTTTCTTTTATATATATGTAGATAATGATGAAGCATTTTTATCTGTTTTTGACTTTCTGCTATTTTTTTTCTGAAACAATGAGCTGGAAGTTGTGCCAGGTGTACAATTTTTTATTCTGATTTACTTCCGCAGGTTTTATATTTTATACGTTATACCTAGCTGCATTGAAACTTGCTGCATGATTTTCTTATTCTGATGAAGGTCTTAGCTGATACAAAATCAGTAGGGAATGAGAACTTCTAGTGTTGGATGTTAAAATTGTTTTGGTTGTGCAGGTATGTTGTTGACGCGGCAGATCGAGAAAACATGGCCATTGCAAAAGGGGAGCTCCATGACCTCTTGAGCAAGCCATCTTTGACCGGGATCCCATTATTAGTCATTGGCAATAAAATTGACAAGCCTGAAGCTTTCCCTAAGCAAACCTTCACAGAACTAATGTAAGTGCATGCTAAGCTACTACACTCCGTTATGATTTTTTTTTCTGAAAATATCAGTTTGATACATTGTACTCATCTACTGCCTGGTGAATGGTATTGCAGGGGCCTAAAGACAATCACTGACCGAGAAGTGGCATGCTTCATGATATCATGCAAGAACTCGACCAACATTGATTCTGTCATTGACTGGCTGGTGAAGCACTCGAAAAAGAAGAATTGAACTTAAATCTGTACTAGCTCTTAAAGCGCACTCCAGTCTCCCTCTTTTTGCATATCGCATAGCATTGGAGCTGTAAATTACGCAAGAGGTATTGATCAGGGATGTTGTGTTCATAATTTTGTTAACCTGGTTTGGCAGTATGTTGGTGGACTGCGTCTGGTACTGTGCACGCCCGTGCTCTGTTACAGGAGGCTGCCTTCTGTATTCCATACTTGGTCAATTTGAGCTGTGCGATTTGTTTCACATTGTTTACTTTAAATCAGAATGAAGTGTTGTTGATGCAGTAAATGAACGTTGCTGAAAAGCAAGTGCAGTTAAATAACGAAAATGATTATCCCGACATCTAATTGTTTTAAACTGTGAAATACATATACCACGAGAGGTGAGACGGGGAAATTGTTTAGTTGCCTTTTGAAATAGGATATCCTTTGAAATATAGAAACTGTGGAGGAAACTAGAGCATTTGGATCAGAGAAATTATTTCGAGGCTTGATTACATGGCACTTCTTTTTAGCTATGTCTTCTACTTCCTCTCTGTTCAAAGTTCAAACAGGTTTGTGGAAGTCCAACTTCTCTAGGTTTGACTACATTTTTAGAAAAATAAATTGACATTTATGAGTTCAAATAATTGTACTATCAAGACATTTTACATAGAATTTAATGGAGCAAATTTGATGTTATATTGATGTGTTAGATATTGTACTTGTTTATTTATGTATTTTCTTTATAATTTTGATCAAAATTAGAAGTCTGACTTAGAACAAAACCAGTGCGGCCTCTTTGTAATAAAGGATTCATGAATGAATCTTGTATAGGATTGTAAACTTATAGGAATTTTTCCTATGTGGCCCTTTGGAACAAAGGCTTGCAAAATTCCTATGGGATAATCAAAGCTATAGGAATTTTGGAGGAAATCTAACATGGGGTTCAACCTCTTAATAAAGACTTTCATTTGTGTCTATCTCTCTTTTCTAAGTAATGCTCCATTAGAGAATTTTCCGCGTTTTCAATTTATGTAAAGATTGCAAGTGAGATGCAACTCCAAGGCCCTCTTTGGAGCATGGGTATTTTCCCCTGTTTCTACATTTTTCATGTGAAAATGAGTTGATTCTTGTAAATTTCCTGTGTCCCAAATAGGCTCCAATTTTTTTTTCTCATTTCTATATTTTGGATATCCTATTTTCCAAAGAGGCCCTGATTTATAATTTTGGAACTGAAGGAGTAAGGATTTTTTTTCAAGCAATCCATATAAGTGCATTTGGGTTTCCCAGCTTTTGTACCTCTTCTTTTTGTGCTCATATAATTAATATTCTATGCTGCTCTTAGTTTGGTTTAGGCAAATCCTATACTGTTCGAAGTGCTTTCTAAATCTTCAAGGCACAAGGTATTCCACTATTTTGTCAATCCAAAATCTTAAATCCAAGCAAACACACATTACAGGTAAGCAAATAACATATGATTTTAATAATGTTCACATTTTGGAAACTCGGTTCCAACGAAAAAAATGCAAAATTTTGGAAACTCTGTGCTGTGGTGGCTGCTGGCCTTGCTGCGTTCTCCCGGTCAAGTCCAAAGTCCAAACGACCAACCCCCCTGGACCTCAGAGATGGCGGCATCGCTCTCCAAGCACCTCCGCCTCCGCCTGCGCGGCGGCGGCGAGTACTGCCTCCTCCCCTCCCGCGCCTCCACTTCCCACACCTCATCACCAGCACCTCCCCCTCCATCGTGTCCTCCCGCCGCGGCCGCGCCGCCGCCCCCAGGTATCCATCTACCCTAACAATCGTCGTCTTCCGAAATGCCTTGCGGATCACCCGCAAATCGTGTCGCGTCCCACTCGCAGGGGCAGGCAAGGAGGCCAGCGCGTGGTCCAAACTCTTCCTCTTCGCTCCCGGTGCCATCACCTTCGGCCTCGGCACATGGCAACTCTTCCGGAGGCAGGAGAAGGTCATACCGCGCACGCGCGCTCAGTAGTTCCTGCTTCGTTTTGTTGGCTTTCGAGACCTCACCGTGTGATGTTTCCTGCTCGACCTCAGATAGAGATGCTGGATTACAGGACGCGGAGGCTGGAGATGGATCCCGTGGCGTGGAACGAGGTCGCCTCATCCGCCGCCCTTCGTGATCCGGCAGCAATGGAGTTCCGAAAAATAGTGTGCGAGGGTGACTTCGACGAGAAGTCGGTATTCGTCGGGCCTCGCTCTCGGAGCATCTCGGGTGTGACGGAGAATGGGTATTATGTGATCACTCCATTGATTCCTAGGTCGACTGAGTCTGGCAGGTAAACTATTTGGAACATCCTCAGAATCCCTATCTTTGAACATCAGCATTGCACTCTTGCAAGGAAACTATCACTCTGATTGTCCTTTGTGATGTCCTTTTGCAAAGCTACTACTTTTTTTAGACACGCAAAGCTATTACATTTCGACGAATATGCATAGAAGCCATGGTTGGCAAATGATGATTTGGTCAAAAATAATTCAATTAAGAAGAATTCTTCAAAAAGGGTCAAACGAAAAGATGTTTCAAGATCAGATATGATCATGCGAAGCAGCTAGGAAGACATGCCTTACATCGGAGCTAATCCATCACAATTGAATTAGAAAAGATGCACAAGTTAGCAGTGATTTAATGCTTTTGATTCTAAACTGGCCCGGTTTATATGGCCCCTCCACTGCCTTTCTTTGTAAAATGAAATTTTCATTTGGCTATGGATCATTTGAAAAGTTATGTAATTATCTTCATTGAAAATTTACAAAGCTTGCCTAGATTCAAACACTCCTGTTGGTTTATTTCATGTATCGCTAAATGAATTGAAAGTCGAGAGATAACACAGATTGTAAAACCATAGTTGGCAATAATCTTGCATATTTGCAGTTTTATTACAGCTGAAGCGGATATATGTGCGCGTGCATGCACGAGCATCTGTGTGGCATGGATAGGGGTGGGGGTTCAGTTTTAATTTGTAGCTGTCCACAGGGAACGAAATTACTTGTTAAGTATGCATGGAAGGAACCTGTACGGCCACAGTTGAGTGTTTGTGCCTTGTGTAATCTGATAACTTCTTTGTTCTTGGACCAGTACATGCAGATTTATGAGTGACTTGTTTGCTATGCCCCCTTTGACTTTATCTCCCACACATTCCTGTCATAGAAATCTCATAAATTTAGTATTACCACTGTTCTGTACTCCACCGTTCGACCATATATATATTTTTAAAGAGTTTCAGGGATCTCTCCCCAGTCTTAACTGCAACTAGAAGACCGTCGCGCCCTGTTCGCTTGAACTTTACAGCATTCATGGGGTTACCCAACTTCCGTCGACAGCACCCAAACACCTTGCCTAATACAGAGCACACCTAAAGTTCTCGAAAAGTGCAACACAGATACCACTACTCAAACCAGCAACTAACATAACAGAAACTACTACCTTTCTGCAAACTAAAGTCTATTCCCAGACTGCTCCCAGCTTCAGCTTACGTCAGGTTACTGTTCCATCAGTATGCTTAGATCATGGCAGCAACACTTGAAGTCAATCCACTTACCAGTTTGCACCAACTCCTCAAAACTTCTTTTTTATAATTACCTCCTCGCAACTTGAAGACTCACTGATCAAATACTTCAGTGCATCTGGTAGCTTGTCTGAACCCCAATCGAAAACCTCATCTTCACATCCAGCCCATACTTCAACCATAGAAATTGGGGAGGCCTATCTGATCACTCGGCAATTTTGCCACCTCCCACGCCTTAACTTTTTTATGGCCAGCAGATGGGTGGAGCCGGCACCTCCTCCTCCGGGTGACATTGACTTCCTCCAGGGAGCTTTTGTGCTTTGGGTTTGTGGTGGTTGGGGTGGGCTTAAAGGGATGACCCCCCCACAGCAGATGGACCGGCAGTGGGTGAGTTCGGTGCTGGGAGCTGATGGAGATGAGGAATAGAGGCAGTGTGGTGAAGACAACGCAGTAGAGATGCTCGCTGGAGTTGAAAAATAAAATGCTGCCATGCTGGGGGTCGGGGTGCGAGGTTGAGGCTCGATAAGTTCATTGATATCGGAGGCAATGCCAGCAAGCTGTGGCAGTGGAGTGTCAGGTCAGATGGTGGCACTGAACGGTGTACAGGGAAGAAGAAAGAAGCTAGGGTTGTGTGGGAGAAAAACTGGACCATTAGATCTGCTTGATGGACGGCTCAAAATTCGAGTGTATGATGGGCCAAAAATGCCGAAGTGGGCTGTAGAGAGTCCCTAGGAATTTGAAATCAATCATAGTGTTTTACAGGTTATCTTCGTCTTTCTAAGAAATGGTTTGTCAGCTTGCAGTCACCTATCCTTGTGAATAGAGGATGGGTTCCTCGTGGATGGCGTGATAAAAATGTTAAGGATCTCCAGATCCTGGATGAAGCTTCAGAGTCCCCAGAAGCTGTGAAAAAGCCAGACGAAAAAGGTTCATGGTGGAAGTTTTGGTCTAACAAGCCTAAATCGTCTCCTGAGGTGATCTTTGTTCCCTATCTTTTGGCATAGTGTACAATCTGTTACCTGAAATTCTAAATGTATCAAACTGTCAAATGCTTGCCACTTTCTCCTCATCAAATTCAGTTGCCACGTGTTTATGTGTGTTGTTATAATGTTATTATCTTTTGTGTGCCATGGTATGTGAACTTCTTGTACATGATAGGGTTGTGAGTTGTGACAACCCTTTTATATCAAATAAGTTCTACTTACTAGACCTGCTATAGATCACTTGTGCCTTCTAGATGATAATGGTATGGATACTATAGGCTGGTCGTTGGGTGTTTGTGACAATTGAATCAAATAATTAATATTATGCTTCCATAAGTACTTTTCTTGCTTACTATCATTCAAAGTATCCATGTCCCTCTATTTGTATTTGTATTGCTTCAATTAGGCACAAAATTTATGCAAGTTACCTTTTGCAGATTGAAAAACCTAGGATACCACCTGTAAGAATTATTGGAGTAATCCGAGGAAGTGAGAAGCCAAGCATATTTGTCCCAGCTAATGAGCCCAGTAGTGGCCAGTGGTTTTATGTGGATGTTCCCATGATTGCTCGTGCTTGTGGACTTCCTGAGAATACTATTTATTTAGAAGATATAAATGAAGATGTTTCTCCGACAAACCCTTATCCTGTTCCAAAAGATGTCAACACCTTGATTCGTCACTCAGTGATGCCAGAAGACCATCTTAAATACACGTTTACATGGTATACACTTAACCTGAAGCTCATCGCTCTTTGCAATTGTATTATTTCATCCTCTGTTAGTGTTTTTTTTTTTTTTTGCTATTGTTACTGGTAGTTTCACTCATCCTGATAGAAACTAGTCTATTACTGCTCTCATCTGGACGTTTGGAGTTTGGACAGTAGTATCTGACTTTATCGGACATGCGCGGTTGATAATAAGTTCATGGCCTCTATGAATGTGAATTCATAATATCTAGAACTTGACTTTGAGTTTGGCAGTTCATCACCAGCAAACCATGATAATCGACATCTTCTCAGCAAGAAATACTTGTGCTGAACATAGAAAACTCCTTTTTGATGTGTGTTATGTGCAAATCTGATACTGGAATGATTAATATATTCAAGAAACTAGCTTCACTTAGGTGGGTCCACCATGTATCATTGTTCAACTAGGCTTTCCCCGCTGAACCATTGCTTGTTGCACACTCATACTGAGAACTATAGCAGTATAATGTTGTGCTGACTTACATATTCGGTGATGTCTGTTGATTATGTAACCGAAGGGATGGGATCTTAAGATAAGGCCATGAAATGCTACTATGGTATGATAAATTGAGTTGTAGAAATCGAGAAAAAAGCAAGGGGATAAGGCTCCGGTGAAGGAAATTCGCAACATATCATGGGGTTCTTGTCCTCAACTCTCTTGAACTGAACTTGCATGCCTGTATGCATGCTCGGCCTATGTTGATGCACAGGTTATTTGTTTTCCAGAATTAGACATCTTTATGGGATGCTGATTCTGTAAATGTGGTATTTGCTTCCTTGTGTGCATCAGTGCATCATATCACCACCTTATGCGTTCGTTTTCTGTTAGGTACACTCTTTCTGCTGCTGTGACTTACATGGCTTCCAAGCGGATAAAGGCAAAGAAGGTCAGGATATAGCAGGAATGGAGTCCAAACTTCCAAATGAACGTCCATTTGCGCATGGTGTCTGCTGCTGCTCTGGAAGATGCCCAAGCTACTGGTTCTTTCGTCTTTGGCTATAAGTATAACATCACACTTTTTGTTCCAAGGTGTTGTACATTGACTGTCGGTATCTGAGAGTTGAGCTCAGAGGATACAGCAATTTTGTTAGCTGATTTCTGATGATTAGAACTTGGAAGGCCTGTAAGGCTGTGGTTTCCTTGTAATATTTTGGCGGGGAGCTTTGAGCTGCTTGTTCTTTTAGCATATTTTTTCATGTTGACTGCTCCACCCGAGAAATTGATGTTCTGTCGCGGGCTCGCGTCGAGGACACGAGCCCAAAACAGAGTTTCTGCCCTGATTATTTATCTCCTGATGGGCTGATAGTGCTTGCACCGGCAGCTCTATTCTACTACTAGTTGCTATAATATATGAAAACTGACGTCTGAATTAATTGTGTCTTTATCAGTTTCATTGCATGATTGGACATGGCAGCTGTTTTTTTTTTTCATTAACGGCTAGTTGCAACTTGCAATGCCTTCTGGAAACAGAGTATTTTGAAAATACTTTGGAGACAGATCTATATGCATGCTCAGATCATTGAGTTCTAAAAGCTCAATAACATTTGGTTGTACGCACCCCGAAAAGTCAATTAGTACTACCACCGTCCCAAAAGGATGCCATTTTAGAACAGTGTCATATTTTAATATATCAAGTTTGACTAATTATAGATAAAAAAGTGTAAATATTTTTAATGTCAAATAAATATTATTAGATAAATTATAAAATATATTTTATAATAAATTAATTGGGAGTCATAGATATGAATACTATTTACTAAAACTTGTTCAAACGTGAAGCACTCTAACTGACACGTAACCCATGGTTGTATTTTTTTGGGGCAGAGGTAGTAACTAGTCCCTCTATCCAACAAAACATGCAACTACAGGTTACGTGTCGATAAACGTAGTTTACGTTTAACCAAATTAATTTATTAAAAAATATATTTTATAATAAATCTAATAATATTTATTTGATATAGTATATATTAATATATTTTTTATTTATAATTAATTAAAGATACTAAACCATGACACTGTGCTAGAATGTACATGTTTTTATGGAGTGAGGAAGTAGTATTTTGTACCATGGAGTAATTGTTCATCTCCATTTTGGACAAGGTGCCACCAGAGTTAACTGTAGGCATGCGTCGCTTGTGAGCTGTGTGGTGCTGTTTCCAGTTCCACCTGTCCTCGTCTGACCTCTGCTCTTCAGCCTGTTTCTACACGAGAAAAGGCTGGATAGACAGTGAAAATAAGTACGTACTGTATGGCCTGGTAGGCTCGGCCTCGTTTAGCTCCTCTCTCTCAAAAATTTACTCCCGCCGGTTATCAAACGTCAGAGATACCCAAAATAAGAGAGTTAACGTTCACGTTGATTTTTTAATGGCTCGAGACGTATTAAAATGTCTCGACTTACCGTAAGGCTGTGCCCTATCTCGAAGCCTCGGGCTCCGTCTCGTTCGACCCCAGAGACGCGGGTTCCGTCTCATCAAGGTCGCGGGCTCCGTCTCATCCGACCTCGAGGACGCGGGTTCTGTCTCGTCCGATGGGGACCCATACCGTCGTCAATCACTTCAGCTCCAAGCGTATGGCCCTGGGTCAAAACTCTGACGCTAGGGAAGAGGCTGACACACCTCGATGTAACCCATGGCCATGACAAGCCATACCTGAAGATTCACATCAAGAACAGTGTCGGGCGGGTGCTGTTCTGCCTAATCCTCGTACGGACGCTGACAGGCGCGTCAGTTCACCACGACGTCCACCGTGACGGAGTGGAACGCCATGACAGGCACATGACGCCTGTGCATGGCGCCAGTAACGAACAGGACCGTGACATAGAGCCGTCCCTGTTGACATTTACAGGATCGGCGGGACCCGCATGAAGAAAAAGAAGAACCCGGCAACCCTGAAAGCCTTCTTCTCTTTTTCCACCATAGACTTGGGTTCATCTCCCTCTCTCGCCTGTTTAACCCCTACTGTAAATCAAGTGCCGGTAACACGAGCAGCAGCGAATTGGACGTGGAGACGTTTCGCCCGAATCAGTATAAACCCTTGTGTCCTCCGAGCACACCATCCGAGCAGACGCGCAAATACAAATTTACTCGACGGTGGTTCGAAGATACCGATAACTCCCTATCACATCGAACAATTAGACACATACATAGAATATTAAATATAGAGAAAAAAAATAACTAATTACACAGATTGCGACTAATTTAAGAGACAAATATTTTAAGCCTAATTAGTCTATGATATGACAATGTGGTGCTACAGTAATATACGCTACTGACGAATTAATTAGGCTTAATAAATTTATCCCGTGGATTACTGATGACTTATATAATTTATTTTATTATTACTGTCTAAATAATACCCGACGTGACAATCCTAAACTTTACTCTTATTGATTTTTTCACCACCTGACTGATCCATCCACGTTCCAACAAGTCAGGCGCGAGCATAAATTCCCCTCAAACCTCAAGAGAAAGGCGTGAGAGTGTGAACGCTGAACGGGAAAGGAAGAAAAGAAGGGCCCGGATGGCTCGTACAGTACGCTACTGTGAGGCCTCTGGCAGTGACAAGGGCGCGTCAGCAATGCGTTGCATGTGACGGTACCTTCCCAATTTGATTGCACGGGCTCAGGCGCTCAGCTCAGTACGCGCCGTGCGGCTTAAATACCGTGTCAACCGCTGCTCTCGCCCTCTTGGCTCGTCTGATAAGTCAGTACTTTTTTCGTCGATGAACAATATTTTTTTATCGTATAATAAATTAATCAACAATATTTTTAGTCAGCTTATTAGCCAAGCAAACAACATCTATCGATGCGGCGTGCGTGTGTGCGTCGAAGTGCCTAGCGCCAGGTCGAGCCCGCTTAATGGCACTGCTACCAAACGGTAGAGTAGCAGGGACAACCGGACAAATGGACACCGGCATTCGGCCGCTAATCATGATGATGATGTTAACCTAACCTAACTGCTCACGGCGGCGGGGCATGAAACCCGGGACCAAACGAGTGACCACATGTCCTGGGAGCCGGGCCGCTCATCGGATCCTTCTCTTGTTCGTATCGCCGGCCGCGGCCGCTCATCGGATCCTTCTCTTGTTCGTATCGCGATCGCGATGTGTCCATGCCACGAACAGTAGCTTCGCGGGGAACAAGAGGTCACATGACGGGCAGTCTCGCTCTCGCAGGAAAAGTCGGTAATAGAGTACGACCCTGGAACATGCCAAGATCGCAACTGCAGTCTGCACGTTGCTGATTGGGAAATCACTGCGGCCCCGCGCCCGTCTCTGGCACGGTGCGCCACGCTAGATCGCGCGGTCTGGTTCTTTGTCCTTCGTTCGTTCCACTTTCACTGCCGGCAGTGCGATGGGGTTGCACCCTAAAATGCCAAATTTTTCTACATCTTTCGTCACATCGAATTTTTAGACGCATGTATAAAGCATTAAATATAAATAAAAAATAAAACTAATTATATAGTTTGATTATAAATTACGAGACGAATCTTTTAAGCCTAGTTATACCATGATTGGACAATAATTATTAAATACAAACGAAAATACTATAATACTAAATATTGATTCATAACCCCAATCTTAACGAGACGCTACCCAGAGAGAGGGAAGGAGGGAAAGGGGACAGGAGGACAGTCGACCTGGAGAGGGGCTCCGAAATGTCAAGGCCTAGCCGCCCTACGGCTACGGCCTACGGCCCTGGTGGTGAAGATGGCATGGAACCATGTGGCAGTCTAGCTCGGGCATGGCCAGCTGCCCTTTTCCTTTCCTTTGTCAACAAAGCTGCCCGCGGCCCGCCACTTCAATGGACTTCCGCTCAATCGCTCCCTTTCTTCGGTCCTTTCCTGATAGGAAAGGGAGGCCAGAAAATGCGCTTTCCTTGTCGAGCCGATGGAACTTGTACTAGTAGTAACAAACAAACCTTAAAAGCGCCCAGCTTTTTGTATCCAAGCTCCGAATCAACTCCAAATTCGGATATCAGAACATGGAACAGGGCATATCTTGTTCACAAATCTTTTTGAAATTGACGAGCAGGCACGTAATAATAGTGACACCGCAGCCCGTTCTTCAGGTTTTCTCAGTTACTGGACCACCTTTCTGGCATTGCATGGCAAGGTCCCCGATCAGATCATTTTCACCAAGGATAAACGCGCACAATCATCACCGACATGTGGGGCCTCCCGGGGCCCAAATGAGGCCCGGCCCAGTACGAGCCCTCAAAAGCATCGCCCACACGGCACACCACCTCCCATTCCCATTCCCATCCGGCTCCCCCTTCACTCACGGCCTCACACCTCAAGTCACACCACACCAGCAGTCCAAGCACCCACCAACCGGCCGCTGCCGAACCCGCAACAGCAACCCGCCTCGGGGCTGCTTCCACCGAGGCGAGGCACACCGCAGTACCGCACACGCCAGACACGCACACGCCGGGGCGCGGCACACAACAAACACTCCTTCCCTCGTAAAGCGTCTCCTATATGCACTTGCGGTCTCCTCGACTCGCCGCCTCCTCTGCTGGTGTTGGATTTGGCGAGGCGGGCCGTGGGCGCGTGGACTGGAGCGGGGGATCCATGCGGCATTGGGATCGACTCCTCCTCTTGGTGAGCATCCAACCCTAGCTTTGCCTGGACGGGAACTTTCTACCGCTGTTTTTCGCGATTCTCCTCCGCGTGGTTTTTCCCTGTAGATGTTTCGGCTGCATTGAGCAATCGCGCCCGGAGTTTCGTGTATCTCCGTCGTTCGTTCAGTTCAGGATTTGTTTGCTGTGTCATGGAGGGAGGATCGACATGGTCCTTCCGTTGCTCTGCTTGATGCTTGTTCAGTTCGAGTAGGTTCGTAACCTTCTTCGGAATTCAGTAAGTTCAGTTCCACGCTGCGTGGGACTTGGGATCCGAGGTGGGGGTGTAGTTTGATTTCTGAGATATGATCAGGAGCCCGTCCCCTTGCGTTTTTTTGGGAAACAGAAGTGCTGCATTTTCTCGGGAGACGGTACGGTGGCGGGGCGCCAGAATTCTGTTCTGCTGTTTCCTGAGGTGCAAATAGTGGCTGTCTTGTTGCCATGCGATTACTCATGGGCATATCCAGTTCTCCTTTTGTCCCTAATGATTAATCCAATTTTTCATTGTTTGTTTTCGGGGGTTTGGTTGGTTGAGATATATGGAGGATGGAATTGATCTCTCTACTACTGTCTGCTGCGTAGTGGGCCATTGCTGCTGTTGACACTTGACGCTAGCATTGGGCGTTGCTGTTCTTGGCGTCCTGTGAGATTGGTGGGTGTTAGGTCTGTAGTAGGAGATGATGTCTGTAATCTTACTTGGAGTTAGCAGGAGCGCGAGTGCAAATGGTTGTTAGCCTAGTCACATCCAGTTCTGCTCTACTGTTGTGTGCCAGAAACTCTGAACCTCCCATGCGGTTGATATTCCTATCCATGGTGCTGTACTTAAAGAAAAAAACGAGACGTCACTCTAACTTGAGAAACTAGGAATAGAGAACTGCTAAATCTGCCATATCTGCCATCGCTCATAGGTCTTCTGTTTTTTGCTCTCTCTTTGTATGGAGCTTTATGTGTTTGCTCATGATTTTCTTGCTTAGTGTCTAATTACTGATATATGCACTGAGCCTCCTTATTTGTCATTGCTAGGTCCTGCAGTCTTGAATTGCGGCTCGACAGAAGATCCTGAGAGCTAGAGCTGTTTTCTTCTACATTAAGTTAAATTATCTGCACAGCCAAAGATGTCCGCGATCATGTTATGTACCTGCAGCGGGGACCAGTCCAAGTTTGAAGATCTTCCTCGATCTCCAGAATCTCTTGCAACACGTGACTTTTCAGCTAATTGCTCATCTTCAAAGATTGCAAGTCGAGAAACAACTCCTGATGATAGCCAAGTAAATGAAGTAGAATCAGACCTAAAAGAAACCCTTTCCCTAAATTATGAGGTTTGGCTCAACACCTCCGCTCTTCAAACAAGATAGGCTGTCTTGCAAAGATTTGCTCACTGTCTGATTTACTTGCCAATGTAACAGGAGGCCCGAGCATTGTTAGGTAGACTGGAACATCAGAGAGGGAACTTTGATGCAGCATTGCAAGTTCTTCAGGGGATTGATATTAGAAGCCTGAGACCGCGAATGACCAGTGCTATTGCTGAAAGTATCAAGCCTAGAACGCCCCCACGTTCTTCAAGAAGGAAATCTTCACAAGTGAATGGAATGGTCATGCAGATGTCAATGCATTCTGTAAGCTTGCTTCTAGAGGCCATACTGCTTAAAGCAAAATCTCTGGACACTCTTGGTAGAGTAGCAGGTATTAACTGGCTATTTGTTCAATGTGCTTTCTTGTATTGTACTTAAGCATTTTAATCTGAAATATGTACAGTACCTCCAGAACCATTGCAAATTTGCTGTTGTGTTATGTATGTGGAGCTAGTTATTTTGTTTTATAAAAATTAATATAAACTGAACCATATGTATTTCACAAACCAAAGTCTGTTATGATAGTATTAATAACTTCTGCAACTCAAAGAGCTTTGTTGCATCCATCTGAATTTTTCACCTCATGCTAATATGCTATCTTGCCATGGCAGATGCTGCAGAAGAATGCAGAACCATCATAGACATTATAGAGTATGCATGGCCATATGGTGTTCCGGATGGTACTGCTGAAGAGTGTAAGCTAATAGACATATTCCATTTGGCTCTAGAATATCTTCCTAAATTGTGGATGAGGAGTGGTTGTTTTGACGAAGCCATCATCGCATATCGCAGAGCTCTTGCAAAGCCATGGAATCTAGATTCTCAAAGGTCCGCCAAATTGCAAAAAGATTTGGCAGTGACTCTGCTGTATTGTGGTGTTGAAGTGAAGTTCCCTCAAGAATTTGCTCAGGAAAGGAATCTGGTAACCCCTGGGAACAACTTAGAGGAAGCAATTTTGTTGTTACTCATGCTAATAAGAAAGCTATCTCTCCGAGAAATACAATGGGATCCTGACCTTGTGAATCATTTGATGTATGCACTCTCATTATCTGGGCACTATGAAGTTTTGGCCAGCCATCTTGAAATGCTGTTGCCTGGAACCTATACCAGATCAGAGAGATGGTATATCCTTGCACTTTGCTACAGCGCAGCTGGCATGGATGATAGTGCGTTAAACATCATAAGGAATGGGTTTTCTGTGCTGGAGAGAAAGGGAAAGCCTCATGTTCCATCTCTTCTTTTAGGAGCAAAACTATGCTGTAAGAACCCAAAGCATGCTTCTGAAGGGATAAAGTTTGCAAATAAAGCCGTCACGTCTTTCAGAAGTCGTGATCTGCATTTCATCAGCACTGCAAAACACTTTCTTGGTGTTTGTTATGGACCTTTTTCTAGGTCCTCCGCCTCACACTTGGAGAAATCGAGATTGGAAGATAATGCACTGAGGCTGCTGCAGGATGCTGCCACAACAGCAAAGTATAATCCTGAAATAATGTATAGCCTCGCTTGGGAAAATGCTATGCAGCGCAAACTCAATGCAGCTATTGAAAGTGCAACAGAATGTCTTGAGATGGTGATGGGAGGTTCTGTTAGTGCCTGGAAGTTACTAATTCTTGTACTATCTGCACAACAGAATTTGCAAGAAGCCGAAGCAGTAGCAGATTTTGCAATGGATGAAGCTGAGAAAAATGATCAGTTGGATATTTTGAGGCTGAAAGCACAAATTCAGGCTTCCCGTGGACAGTTCAAGTCTGCAGTGGAATCTTTTCGGGTTTTGCTTGCCACTATCCAAGTAAAGAAGGAAGTCTGGAAATCGACCACTTGTAATGAGGTACAGTCCCCTCTTCTTTATTTTGAACTCCAGCAGCAATACCATGTTTCTTTGCTCATTATCCACATAATCTTGGCAGGTTAAATGCCTACAGAAGTTGGAGATGGACTCATGGTTAGATTTGGCATCAATCTACTCAAAGCTTGAGGCATGGCATGACTCAAACATCTGCCTTGACAAAGCTATATCCATTGATTTCTTTTATCCCAAGTGTTGGCATGTCAGAGGTAACTATTGCTGAAACTTGACTCTGCTACTGTCTGTACAAATATTGAGCTTTCAGTGAATCCTCTTCCACAATTGCTATGATCAAACCACTATGCTCGTTTTATCAAACATTAAGAAAAAATAAAATGAAATCTTGTAATCTTAAACATTTTCTTCTTTAGGCGGACATAGTGTAGAAATTAGTTCTGTATTTACTTAAATTTGCATTTGCTCTGGACATCAAGAAAATAGGGTAGTTCTTGAAACATAATAATATTGTGCTTTTGTGTCCCTAACAGTAAAGCGAATATCATGTTCCACCAAAATGAAATGCATATCTAGGACTGTTATATTTTATATTACTACTATTATTCGTCTCATGGGTCTAGATTCTTTCCAGGTCTTCTATTGGAGGCTCAATTCTTGCACAAGGAAGCCCTGATGGCGTTCTCTTTCGCCCTCTCAATTGACCCAGATTACGTCCCGAGCATGGTTTGCATGGCAGGAATTCTCCGAAATATTGGAGGGAATTCGCTATCAATTGCAAGAACTTACTTGCGCAATGCCCTCCGTTTAGAGCCTACAAACCACCGAGCCTGGTTGAGTCTTGGGCTTGTCCTGAAAGCTGAAGGATCGCTGCAGGAGGCTGCGGACTGCTTCCAGGCAGCATATGAGCTCAGAGAATTGTCACCAATTCAGGACTTCTCTGAGCAACTCCCGATCATGCTGCATTAGGAACCTCTAGCAAAGGATGTTCACAAGTTTTTATGTGGATTTTTTCCCATGGTTGTCTCAGTTATTAATTTATCGCTTGCAAAGGTAGGAAGCATATATGATTTTGTGAATGTAAATTAATCCATTTATGTTCGTGAGCAAATTTTCCCGCTCTTGAAAACAGCAAAGTTATATATGGTTCTCCAGCAGCATAAAGCTGAACTTTCTTGCACAATGCTCTTCATATAGGCTGCACGCTCCGGACTTCTCCGGAGTGCAGTATTAGCAAAGACAATTGGCTTGTCCTAGCAATTGGGCCATCCTACATTTGGAACACAGGACAAGGTTCACAGTTTTCCCAGCAAACTCAGTTTTACCTTTCGCATTCCTTCTGCCGTTACCGCTTGCAATTTGGTTATGCTCCGTTTGGTTGACAGGATTGCAACGGATTAATTGAATTGGAACTCAAATCAAAATCCAGAGAATTGCATTGTTGTCCCCCGTTACAACTTGCAATTTGGTTATGCTCCGTTTGGTTGAATTGATTGCAACGGATTAATTGAATTGGCACTCAAATCCAAATCCAGAGAGAATTGCATTGCCGTCCCATTCTAATTCTATTGTTTGATTGGCACATGAATTGTAATTTGGAAAACAAATGTGATGATTTTTCTAAAAAAAATCATATTCATGTTTTGAGCCTTTATTACTCTGGTATATCTGGAAGGCTAGGGTGAACAGGAACAAGGAAGTACATATCAACAGAACTGCAATGACATCACACAGCGTAGCTCGATTGGCAAGGCCCAGTGGTTGGGACCTTGCCGGCCGGAGTTCGAGCCCCCGTGGCTGCGAATTTCCGGTCTCTCACCATATCAATGCCATCATAAACACTCAGCAACAGCCACCACTATCCATGTATATGAAAGCAACAATGCCAAGCTCTACCTCAGTAATCATGGATTCATGGCTGAAGCAGCATCACTCATCTCTGCAAAGCACATACAAGCTCCTATCTATCTCACAGACAATACAGCAATTGGTGAATTTCTACAATAGAACAGACCACTCTTCGCCACCTCACTGGAGCATCAAATTTTACACTCAGAAGTTCATCAATCACAACTCTGCAAACAACAAGGTCCTCAACGTCACATGAAGCAAACACTGCGGCACACCTACTATAGCAACTCAGGCTCGATATACTACAAACTTGCATTCACATGTACCATCTATAGCCTGCACAAATCAGGCCCATGCAAACAGATGCCCCTTGAGGGAGGCTTTGAACTCTGTATCTTGGGAGAGATTCTCCTTAACAACTTCTTGCTGTTGAAATAAATTCCGCTTGTTATAAAAAAACAATAAATAAGCAGAGCAGAGCATACGAATGAGAAACTGGATTATCAATAACCAAACAAAAATAAGCACAGAATAGTACAGCAGTAAACACAAACATCACCACGAATATTCTTAAACACTTTTTATGAATAATCTTAAAACAATTGTTTTGAGACAATCTAAAGGCCAGAAGAAAACAGGTAGCCAAGACAATTCTATGAAGTTTAAGTCATAAGCAACCTCCTGTCCAAAATCATCTAGATATTATAGAAGTAGTAGCAAATAAACTACTCGGCAGCAGCAACCTCCTGCCCAGCCTCATCTCCCTCAACAGGCCTCTCAAGCTTCACACCCACATCCTCTTTGTAGTCACCATGAACCTGAGAAGCAACAAGTATTAGGATGACAACAGGGAGGTTGACTGGAAAAAATTATTACTATGGATGTGGCAATTACCTCCATGAGCTTCCCGAGATCAAACTTGGGAGCCTTGAGTATCTTCACCTTGCGGATGAAGACATTTTGAAGTGGGAATATGCTGGAGGTGGACTTCTCAATTTCTTTACCAATAACTTCTGGAATGAACTTTGAAACAAGCTCTTTCAGGTCACATGTAGAAGCCTGGTTGGCCATAATCTCAACCATCTTGCGGCGGATCTGCACACAGTACATGGCACAAGTATAAAGATAACAGGCAAACATAGTTGGACTGTTTGATGTACAAGAAATTGCTACAGTTTTTGAATTCTGCAATGTATGCTACAGGGACAGAAATGTATGTTACCTGGCGGATCTGGGATGCCTGTGCGTAGCAGGTTCTCTTGACCTGGTTTGGACGCCTCTTGGTGAAGCCAATGCAGAACAAGCGCAGCATGTAGTTGTCAGTTGTCTTGACATCAACATGGGCTTCAATGAGTGTCTGCCACTTCCTGACCAGGGATCTGAGTTTATCTGTAGTAAATGACATTCCCTAATAATAGAGAGAACAAGTTAGCAATTGAAAACACAGTAAAAGCACAACATCTGTGAGCAATAGAACGCTGATCATTACCCAAAAGTTTGTGAGCACATTCCTGCCTTGCACATCTTCAGCACGGAGCCTGATTTTCCTGTAAGCCTGATCCTCGTCACCCTGAAGATCAGCTAGGCAAACCTCAAAGACTCTGTGCTTCAGACCCTCAGAAGCAATCTAAAACAACAGAAAAGATACATGAATCAGCAAATTAGACCATCAAGTAGAGTATCTACGAGACCCAGATACTGGTAAATCATATCAAAATCACATCACTGTTTTATCATATTCAGACAATCAGGATACACAGCTTTATTTGCAAGTCCAATAAGAATGGCCAGGATCCAAAATGAATAATAAAAGATAACGTTTATCAATATAATTCAATATGAATCACTTTATCTTGAGACCGGTAAACCATATGAACATCACATCACTGTTTATCATATTCAGAGCACCAGGATACACCAAGGCTGTATGCGCAGGTCCAACCAGAAAGGTCAGGATGAAAAATGAAGATCATATTTATCAATATGAACCACTTCTGGATGATATCCTGTGATCGGAATGCTATTGTGCTACATACAGTCAACAAATTACTATTACCTCTGTTCCAAAATGTGGGTTTTTAGTTCTGTCTTAAGCAAAACTTATAACTCTGACCAAGTTTTCAGGAAAATATATTAACACCTACAGTATCAGATAAATTCACCATCAAGGCATTTAAAGTTGGATCTAATGAAATTATTTGATTGTGTAGATATAAGCACATGTTTCTACAAAAACTCGTTCAGAGTTAGAGAACTTTCACTTAGAACAAAAGTAAAATGACCGGTTTTTGGATCAGCGGGAGTACCAAACTATGCATGAACTCAAGAAGTACAACATTTGTCTTCTAAACATTTCACTGACAGGTCAAAACATGCCCTTTTTTCACATACAACCGACAGGCAAAGAATTTCATCTTTAGAGATAGGAAAACAGAGACAATATATGCACAAGTTCACACCACCATAACGTTGGGGAAGTACGAAAAAACGAGAACGAAAGAAAAACATACCCTGGTACCCTGTGTCCTGGACACGAGAGTCTTCCCGATGTTGCGCACACTGAACACCGACGGGGCCTTGATGTCATACCAATCCTTCTTAGAGAAGGGGTCGACGCTGTAAGACAAAAGGAACACAGAACACCACCGCATCAGCAGATGCTAAAGAAACGAAGCAATCCGGAGAAAGATCTCAAGTAAGGGAAGAACAGGCAAGAAACTCACGTCTTCTTCTTCCCACCCTTCTTTCCCTTGGAGATCCTCTTGTTCTTGCCGACTGCCATGGTTGCCGCCGCGTGCGCTAGCCCTGGCCGCTACCGCGCGGGCTCGCCCTGGCCGCTGGCTGTAAGGTAGACGGAGTGGGAGAGATCGAGAAGATAGGGCTCGCGGCGGTGAGGGAAGAGTGAGCGAGTGGCGGCCGGGAGATATAGGGCTGGGGGCGGTGAGGGAGGAGTGCTCAAACCCTAAGTTCCGGTATTTATATGTGAACATCGCTATCGGGCCTTCTAAGGCTCGGCCTTTTTTCCCAGGCGGGCAAAGAGTCCCACCTCCGTTCGGCCCATATGCGTGCTTTGAGAGAAGGCCGCGAGTGCCAAGAAGCAAAAGACTGCACCTGAAAAGGCCGTGCCGGAGAATCAATGGCAAGGGGCTACTTCTAAGGGAAGACCATTTAGATATGAAGTCATGTGGGAAACAAATAAAGATCTTATGCCACTGATTTCCCAAGTGTGGAAAAATGATATGCATTGCAATAACCTCCACGAATTGGAAAGGAAACTTACTCGACTTACGAGTACACTTCAGCATTGGAGTGCTACTTCTTTTGGAGCAGTAAGAAAGGAATTAAGGGCTTTGAGGAAGAAATTGGAAATCCTTCGAGCAGATCCACAAAGATGGGTGATTTCTGAAGAAGAGAAGGAAATTGAAGAAAATATTATTAAGTTAAGCTTGCAAGAGGAGATTATGTGGAAGCAACGCTCCCGTATCCAGTGGCTCATTGAAGGAGATAATAACACAAAGTTTTTCCACCAGAAGGCCAGTCGTAGGTGGAATAAAAACAAAATCACACAACTAACCCGTGAGGATGGTACAATTAGCGAGGATATTGATGAGATGCAACAAATGACAAGGGAATTTTATAGTAAACTATATTCATCTGAGGGTACCACAAATATGGAGAAAGTCCTATCTCATGTGCCAAGGAAGGTTACTGGTGAGATGAATGCTTTCTTGATGTAAACCATTTACAGAGAAAGAGGTTAAAGAAGCACTTTTTCAAATGTCTCCACTGAAGGCTCCAGGACCAGATGGTTATCCAGCCCATTTTTTCAGAGGAATTAGGACATGTGTGGAGAAGATATTACTAGGGCAGTGTTACGAGTGCTCAATGGAGATGAGAGGCCGGAAGAAATCAACAGTACGTTCATTGTTTTAATCCCAAAGGTTCCCAATCCGACCTTGATGTGGCAGTTTAGACCAATCAGTCTGTGCAATGTAATCTACAAAATTATTTCTAAGGCGCTGGCTAATCGGCTTAAGTCTGTCCTATCTGAGATAATCTCTAAAGAGCAATCTGCATTTGTCCCTGGTAGAATCATCTCTGACAATATAATTTCAGCT